TGCATATGTAAATATCGGGTAACTCAAAAGTGTGTAAACTCGTGAGTCACACATACAGTAGGTCAATTTCTCTTTATTGTTTAAAGCTCTGCTGCCTCTTGTGACGGAGGCGCGAGGACTCGTGAGCGGACGTAAAGGAGAAACAGTCGACGCAAGAGCAGAGAGGGAGGAGAAAGACGAGGATATACGTAACCGGGATCTCAGCTGTATTAGCGGAAGACAGGATCCAGGCTTCCAGTGACAACCGAAACAGCAATATGGGGAACTAGTCCAGGGAAGAGCGAAGCAAACACGGATTAAACATACGCGTCTGCACTCGCGCCGCCATTCATTCAAAATATCGAGTAGTTGCATTGATTTTATGTCTACAAATTATAGCGTATCGTACTTAATAGAGCACCAGAATTGCTAAGGTAGCCCCTTTAACAAATAGGCAGAGCATCTGCTCTTTAAATCGGCGTGTAGGACAAGACACAGTACTGTAATATATGTGATAGCTAGTGCATATGTAAATATCGGATTTAGTGTTTGCTCAAGAGTTTCTTTGGTTGGCTTCGAGGCACCAGAAATGCTCTCTGAAATACTGGTAAGTATTTATCCAACCGGCTCCCAGCAACGCAATGCTTTATGTTGTGTGAGTGTAAACAATGTAATGCTTGATAATCGTGATTCTGGTGTCATACCGTCTATCACTGGCAAATGTCCGCTGTCGCTACCAATACTCCCAATGTTACGCTCAGCAGTAAAAACTTTACACTGTAAATAGGTCGGTGTGTAGAGATAGTTTGATTGTAGGACTACTAACAGCGCCAGAACACGTCTTGGCAGATTTGATTTAGTGCCTAACATTTAAATTCGCAGACTCTAGCTTATTCGTTGCATATAAATGAGTATTATGCGCCTTTACTGCGTTAAAAATGGGGAAAAGTCCGCAGTAACACTTTGCAGCACGCTGACCTTGATCGAGTTGTCCCCTAGCAGCTCATACACTGTATCAGCGCGTAAGATTTTACCTCGGACTCTTGTACTCGAGTCATGTCGCATTTCCAGGACAGCCCTTCAGTCTGGAAACAAACTACATCAGGCGCGACACATCTGCTTTGCATTCTTGTATTTGAGGCATTTCACGTCGTCACTGACATAATGCAGTTGGTACAAGAAGGTAGTAATTTAATTTGGCTATTTTAAATCTGTGTGCACACATTGAAGTAGACAGTGACAGGGGTTATGTTGTCAAATGTAATCAAAAGCCGTACTTAACACTTCACGTACTAAATTGTTTACCTCATTAAAAAGTTTAACACACAAAGTTAAAAATGACGTACTCTGACAAGAAATAGACTCCAGTCATGTCAATAAAAGCCGATTGTTTTACATGGATTCAGTTGCCTTCATGGGGCAGACATGTTGAAATCACGTGACTAGCCTTAAATTAATTAGGGTTTATTGCAAAGATGATTGCATTTCTAGTAACTGAAATCTTTGTGATTCTGCATCCTGCCACTAGTTGTCAGTATAAATTCCACGGTATACTTTTTACGCTACTTCGGCACAGTCGAACATATACAAGTATGCATTCGAAAAGTATACTGCAAATTGCAAACACAAGCGGTGGACATATGCACTAAAAATTTCATCCTCGTCCAGTTTTTGTACTGGGCGGTTAGAAAAAAACGTGCTGTAGGTATACAGTACGCATATATTATGCTGTTGACAAAATTTGTATCACGCATATGCCTACCCTAGCTTACATAGTATACTTTGGAAAAATTGGGCTGTACATGTACAGTATGCAGGTACTGTGCTGATAACAAAATTCACACCGCATACACTAGCATGTGTGTAAAAACTGAAAAAAGTTTTTTTGCGTCATACAGTTTCATGTAAATGTCTTTATAAATGAGTATTATTATTAATAATATAGCAAAAACTGAGAAATACATAATGGTTAGCTTTTATTTTTTAGTCAGCATTTTTAAATCACTGATAATGAAAGACAAGGTTACCGTTTTATGGGGGTTTTTTTTTGGTCGTGTTTAAAACTCAGTCGTAACTGGTTTCACCAGAGTTCAAAAGGTCAAGGGTGAATAGTTTTCACAAAAACTGTGTCAAGCATTATTGCAGGTATTTATTATAAAAATGGTTACATATAAGTCTATGTAGGTTACATTTGTGATTAAAAAAAGTATTTTTCTAATGGCCGTGTATAAATAATTTATAGAAACTGTCTTTGAAGTGTTGGTGACCACTAGGCCACTCTTGGACGTGATTGGGTATCTCTGTTCTTAAGAAGTTGTAATCCAGTTTAGCAATTAACCTTTCAATTGTCAAGGCTCGGTGTACAAGGTCACCTTTTGAGGTCTGCTCTGACAGTCTTTGCTCGACAGTTGTAATGCATGCATACTGTAGTCGAAGTTCAAAGGCTAACGTGCTACTTGTCTCAGATTTCTCTGCTGAGTATCAGATTTACACAGTAAACTTTAGATTAGAAATCAGTTGATCACTGCTACTATGCTTTAATTTTACACAAAGCAGCAACTGACGACAATACAGACTACTGTGACTAGTTTAAGAATAGGACCAATGTCACCAAACACAACTAGCATTCTGAAGTAGAGCTGTTCCTAGTGTACCTCAAAAAATAAATCCGTAACCTAAAGTGATATAAAAAGACAAGTAGAAATCTTTAACTAATGTTACAGAACAACTGCAGCACTGAAGTCTAAAACAACAGTTTCACTTTTGGACATTAAAAAATGTGACAGACACTAAGTTCTTTTAAACAACATTATTCAGTGCTGTTTGTTACACCTATACGCTTCATAGCAGGTAACTTACAAGGAGAATAGAGTTACATAAAGATCAGATTTATTGTTGAGTATTTGGGCTGCTTCAACCTGACTTTTGTCTCAAAATATAATGTTAAATGTTAAAAAAAGCTCTACCAACTTAGTTTATTTGCATGTTTCTCTCATTGTCACCCTTTAAAGTTATATCTGAAATCAGCTAACTGCACCAAAGTCCCTGGGATAGTTTATCAATGTACATTTAATATCTGAACAAGATACATAATACCTTTTTGTGTGATTGTTGTTAATCTTGTTAATAATAAATTATTTATTTTGCTCAGTATTGTTTTAGTATCATTAAGTTTTTTTTGTTTTATTAATATTTTGGATTAATTTTTATATTTTCCATTTTATTTTAATTTTAATTAAGGTTTTGGTAATTTTTTGTTGTTATTTGTTATATAAATATATATTTTTAAATATGTCTATATATTTATAATTTTTTGTTTCAGTGTTAGTTATTTTAGCACATCACAAATGAAATGATAAATGTAGCCTAAGTTTTTATTACTATTTTGAATTAGTTTTTTATTTTTACTTTTAATTTTAGTTTAAGTTTTAGTAATTTTGCTGTAATTTTTTTTTCAGTTTTAATATTATTTTTAAATGTCTATATCAATTTTTGATTCAATTTTAGTTTGTTTTAGTATATCAAGTTGAACTAAATGAAATGAGAAGTGTTGCTATAACAACTAGTTGAAATAAAATAAAATACAAAAAAAAAAGATTTCCGTTAACGTTTATTTTAAGTAAGAATTTTGCAGTTGCCCATATCTCTTTCATTCTTACTTTGAACTTGCTAAATTGTCTCTCAGCTGTGAAGCACATTTTTCTTCACATGTATTTGCTGTCACACACACACAGATCTTTTGGAGTTCCCGTGCCTGTCCTTCAAACCCCTCCAGTGACTTTGACCTTTGGAATGTGTCAGAGAGCGGAGGGGGAGGGGAATGTTGCGCACAGAAATCATATGAGAGTATCCGAGTGTCCGAATGTGTGTGAAGATTGAATGAATGACAGTGAGCAGGCCCGGAGAATGGGTGCATGGGAGAAAGACAAAGAAATGGTTTCTCTCTGTCAGCATTTTGTGCTAATGGTGTGTAGGTGATGTGGTGTAAAACATGGATACGGTGTAACAGACACAGATTATTATGGAGTACAAAATAAGCCCTGCATGAGGTTTATTGACATTGGCCAGGACAGACTTTTTTTTTTTAAACAAACAAAAGAGAGAAATAAATGCAATACCTAATGCTGAGACCACATTTACGGCTAATGTTGTGTCTGATTAAATCTGACATTTTTGTTAGATATCTGCAATGCTTTTATTAGTTTTAGTTTCGAGATGAAGATGTGGTTCAGACTAGTAGCAGTTTTGGTATTATTTATAATTTAGCCACTTCATAGCAACGTGCGTCTCTGCTGATGCAATCCATTATATAATGCCTTATTTTGTAATGCATAGATCTGTCATGTATATTCAGTCTCATACATTTTTTTGATTACTGGCTGATTTTCTCTTTTCTTGTCAGGGTTCCTGATGCCCAGTTTGAACTGACTACTGTAGTCTTCTGATACCAAAAGAAAGTGAGAGGATTTCCAGCATACACAAGACTAAAGACCTTTGGCTTTTGAGCAAAAGGTAAGCTAATCGTTGTAAATATATTTTCTTATTAAAAATAGTTTTATTCATACTTTTATTTGATCATATATTCCCTCTTTAAAGCACTGATGTACCACTGCTTAACATATAAAATATAAATAAAAACGTTTCATTTTCAAGCAATTTAAAGCGGAGGATCTTCAGTAGCCGTAGGACTGATAAAACACATAGATCATATAATCCTAGATCTATTTGAGTTCAGACCTGCTGTATTTAGAGTCCCTGATTTTCTTTTGCCCGTTTCTGTCTCTCATTACATCAAACTTATTAACATAACTGCCTTGAGCTGAAGAAAAACAAACGACTTGCCTCAGTGCCTCGTTCTTTCCCCTTTGCATTTATTATAGAATGGAATAATCAGTCACTAATGCTAAAGCTTTTTCTTTTATCAATCATTATTGCGTGATTATTTGAATATATTTAGTAAAAATGCTTGGCTCCTGTGAGCAACTCTCCTCCCTCCTGAAGGCATGACTCATGACACGTTTGTCTGGGGGAAAGTGAAGTTCAAAGATGCACACTGCTAACTAAACTAAGCTTATTCGGGCATGTTTATGGGAACACAGACAGATTTCCTTGCGTTTGAAAGGCGGCGAGTCAATGAATAGCTATTTTTGGGTACATATTCTCCGGTAGAGACGTTTGGAGGAGGTGGGACATATCTTGAATGAGTAAAGGTAAGTTAGCGAAAGCTAAGCTAGTCTAGCATGTTCTTATAAGTGGGAAGCAACACAAAGTGAAACACACAAATTACTTTTAAAATGTATTAAACATTATAGAAAGGGAAACGAGAATTCAACCTGACGAATTCAAACAAGCATCAATCCGGATGTATTTAGGCGGTGCAGCTTTGCAGAGTACTATAGGAAGTGATTGATTTGGTTGATAAAGTTGTAAAATAGCACACTGAATATTGTTGTTTTCACATTCACATTAGCTATGCCCGAGTCGTGAACGATTTGTTATTTTGAGGCATCCTTTTAGTGAACCGGACTGAGTCGGTTCGAGCGGTTCTCGAGTGAACAGATCCGACTCTTTGAACCGATTCTTAATGAGCAGAGAACCAAGTGATATGATAATAAGAGAATTTGACTGACGGGTCGAAAAATAAGATGCTTTTATAGCAGAATAGCAGAAATATTACAAATAAAACGTACTGTAAATATATTTACGATTTGGTTGTATAACCGTTATATCAACACGCAAACAAGCGATTTGGTTTTAATTAATAGCATTTTATTAAAACGTGCAAAAACTCTGTAGATGTAAACGGATGTTAGTATCGTTTAGTGTAAATGAACGTTACATTTATCATGGCTGCAACAAACAGAACTCAGGCATATGAATTACAATAAGCTCCCTTATTAATCAAACTTAAACAGCAGTATGTGCAAATGTATTTACTGGAGGATTTTAGAGCATAAAATATGCCACGCCGGGATGATAGGGACCATGTGATTACGTAATAACGCCATGACGCAAGAAAGCCGCTAAATCGTTTTGAACCGGTTCTTTGGAACGAACTGTTCGAAAGAACCGACTCACGGAAATGTGTTGGACTTCCATCACCACATCAAATTTTAAACAAGCTCACCGTTTAAAGTCCTCTATTTCTATGTATAATGAACCGAATCGGATGTCGCACATCGGTGAGGTTCACGTGAACCCCCAGCGGGAGAGACAAACGTGTGAAATGACGGTCGTTTGCACCGCATGATCAGTTTGCGCCTTTTCCTTTGTAGTCTGTCATTTACATGTGTTTGAAAAGGAACGTTCCTCCGTCATCCGGTTCCTTCAGTTTGATGAGGGATTTAGAGATCTCAGCTTGTCCTCACAATTGAATCATTGGCCTCCTGTGAAGCGGCGCAGCGGCGCGTGCCCTCACTGTAGCCACGTGGTCATTATTAGGTTCACTGGAGAACTCAAAGCATTGAAAACAATCTCTGAACAGGTCAAAACTAAAGAGTGAGAACAAGTGACTTGTACACTCCACAGTTGTTACTGTGGGTTTGTTTTAACTGGGAAACAGTTCTCACAAATGTTCCATATTTATCATATAAGCAGACTTTTCTGTTGGTATGGGGAGTATAGGTTAAATTCAAAGTTCGGGTGTTATGTAAGTTTTGGCAGAAAGTACAGTGGACTTGAAGGCATTGGGGCACAGTTACATTCTGCACACTCGCCAACGTTGCAACACATCACACATAACCAGGTGAAAGGGGAATATGTGTGTGTGTGTGTGTGATGTCCACCGAGGACAAATGAAGGAGGAAATGTAGTTTTTGACCATAATCTGAGTGGCAGACAATAATCATGATGACTCGGTAAATGTGCATTAACCTATGTATAGTTCATACAATATACGACTCGTATTTCAGTCAGGAAGCTCACAAACCCAGTATTGCTCTAGTAATCGTAAGGAGCAGATGTCAATGCTGGTTGTGTTCCCTACTTGGCAGTCGTTCTGCAACTTGGGTAATTTCCATGTGTTAATGCGCTAGAACATTTCTCTTTCTCGCAAATTGCTTAAAATGGCAAAATCAGCAAATTTGAGAAATGGCATTATAGGTCAGTTTGTCCCTGAGGGGGGTTTATGGACTGTGGGTACCGTGGAGTGGTTCAGAGTCTGTAGGGCATCACTTGTGGAGGTATAATTAGAGGATTGGTTCTCTCTCCTGGATTAATGACCCTAATCTGCTGTGGGCGGAGGCCATGCCACTGGGATTATGGACAGATTTGTGCAGAATTCTGTTCTTCAGTTTGAATTGCTGTATGTGTTGTGTGTAGATCTTGTAGCAATACTTCAAGGTAATTTATTAATACTGAACCCATGTATTCATACCTGATGCTACCAGTAGAACGAAATCTCAAGATATTTTTAAGATTAACGATTAGAGCTGCTGTTGTGTGAGCGTGTTGAGCACTTTCTTACAATGTCCTCTCTCTTGGGTACTGCTGGGAAATTGATTAAGTGTAGTGAATTGGTTTGTTCGGAGGTTTCAATGGGGAAAACAAAGGAAACGGCTCGCAGATATCCTAACATAACACTGCTTGAGAGAGTGAGGACGTAAAGGTGCTTGTTCGTTGAATGCTGTCTGCTTGCTCAGCATGCACCTGCATGTTAACTGAAGGGAAAGAAGAGCAAGGATTACTGAAAAATAAACTAGTTTCCATCATTACAGGGAAAAAACATTTGTAGTTTATAGCTCATAAGAATTATTGTTTAAAGGAGATTTATGCTGCGTTTACACTGTAAGGCCTATTGCACATATTCAATATTTAAACATGCATTGGTTTTTTGTTCCACCTGTTTACATTCTCTTAAGGCAAACCGATTGTGTTTGCATTATGACCTGCCAAGACTAGGGCTGGGTATCATTCAAAAATGTTCGATATCGATACCAGTTCCTGAACGATACTTTTTTCAATACCAATTTTATGAAATCAATTTTAACAATCTAAAAAAAAAAAAACTGGTGGTTTTATTTTTCAGCTTGTTGATGTTTATACAAACTCCTCTCCTGAGCCACTGCACAAAGGAACAAAATGTAACCAACACAATAAATCAGTGCAAATAGGTTTAATAAAGCTCAAATAGTCTTCAGTTTACACATCTGTTAGGCTACATTTACACTAGTGCGTGTTCGTTTTAAAACGCATAGCTCAGACAGAATCATGATTTCCATTTATTTTCCACTGATTTACTGATGAGCATTAGCAGCTTCCAGCACGGTCTGCCTGTGTGCTCTCTTCCATGATCGCTGCTCTTACTCGTTTGACGCGGACTGACTGTGCAGACCGATCGGTGTATTACAGTACCACGAGAGCTAAAGAGAGCAGACTGCTCCGTGCGCTTTCGAATCGCTCTCGCGGATGTCAAACGCTGATCGATCTGCGCCGCACCTCTTCTAGTCGAACACTAGTGCTGCAGGCTTATTGGCTCACTGGCGCTGATGAGATTAACCCCTTAGGTATCGAAATTTGGTACTGAACGATGCAAAAGGGTCTGGCTGCAGCCTTGCACTTGCACTCTCAGACACTTGTGCTTCTGCTAGCGACGTCACTTGCCGTCTTTATTTTTTATTTTGTTCTATTTTTATTACTTTTTGTTTGAATCTCTCAACATTTTACAACAGTAGCCACGTGGTAAAGACAAGAAAAAAGAAACTAAATTAAAATGTCACTTGCACTCGCCACTTGCACTCTCCGCTACCTGCGACGTCACTAAGTCAGTAACAATTAAAAATAATTTAGTACTATAACATACAGGGTCCTGCAAGAAAAAGGCAAGACCTGCAAATCCTTGGCCACAGAACAGCAGAATATGAACGCATGCGCAAAGTCTCTCGTTAAGCATTTTCCTCCTGTAGAAAAACATAAACACTTAACATGGCATAATGTATTAAGATGCTATTAAAATATCAAATATACAGTTTATTAATATAATGAATATGTATATAGTATTTTCCTTCCATACCGCAAAACGTGGCATGATGTGGCATAATGGACTAAAAAGGCCAAACTCAGTATGCTCCTCTACATTATTAATATACATAGCTAATATGTACAGGAAAGCAGGTAAGCCCAGAATAAACGCAACACTCACAGTTTCGTGTTAAGCATTTTTTCCATATAGAATAAACTGTCTACAGCTCTTTTATATCATTGTTTTTGTCCATTAAGCTACATTACGTGTTTTATTTATAATGATTTTCTATGGGAGGAAAATGTTTAACGTGCAATTTAATGCATTGCGTTCTGGGCTCGTCTGCTAGCCTGTACGGAGTTGATCCTTTTAAAATAACTTAATGCATTTCATAATGCACGTTCATATTTGCTGTTCTGTATATACTTTGAGTCAACAACAAGACATATAGGCTACTGAATTGTCTTTATCATCCGTTATTATGCCACATTAGGCGTTTTGCTGTATGGGAGGACAAGTGAAAGTTTGCACGTTGTGTTCATGGCCACCTGCTTGCCTTGCAGTACATTTAAATAATAACTATATATCGAATTTGATCTTTTAATTGCACTTAATGTATCTTAATACATTAAGCCATATTAAGTGTTTATGTTTTTCTACAGGAGGAAAACGCTTAACGAGAGACTTTGCGCATGCGTTCATATTCTGCTGATCTGTGGCCACGGATTTGCAGGTCTTGTCTTTTTCTTGCAGGACCCTGTACGTTATAGTATAAAATTAGTTTTAATCGTTTAATCACCACCACAGCTTCTTGTCTCCATTGGCAACATGCACGATTTGTATCGATTGCAAGTGACGTCGCAGGTAGCGGAGAGTGCAAGTGGAGATTGCAAGTGACATTGTAATTAGTTTCTTTTTTCTTGTCTTCACCACCTGGCTACTGTTGTAAAATGTTGAGAGATTCAAATAAAAAGTAATCAATAAATAAAATGCTGAGAGATTCAAACAAAAAGTAATCAATAATATAGAACAAAATAAAAAAGACTGCAAGTGATGTCAATTGTGGAAGCGCAAGTGTCTGAGAGTGCAAGTCTGAGAGTGCAAGTGCAAGTCTGCAGCCAGACCCTTCTCGAACGATGAGATGTTTTTCGATACTCGATGGTATCGAGGCAATTCGGTCGGTGCCTAAAAAGTATCAAACTTGATACCCAGCCCTAGCCAAGACGCACTAGGCTGACAACAGCACAGTCTTGGATTGAATTTGTTTTTAGTAGTAGTCCTCATAAATAATAAAAAATTATCTTTTCCATTAAGGGGTGATATTTAAACCTAAACGGAGTTTTTGACTTGTGTAAGAATTTTTTGAGTGTAAAATATGTTTTAATAAAATGTCCCATTTTAAATTATATTACACAACATTTTTACTCCGAAAATACATTAAAAGACATTTAAAAAAGTTCTCTCTTGGAAGAATTTTTTATCATTGATTAAATTGAAATATTCTAAATTATTTTGATCAGTACTATTGTTGTTACTTGTATGTTTTTGTATAGTGATTATTCTTAAGAAAATGTTATATTATTGTAAATTATGTATTGAAATGATACTTTTATTGTTGCCATGAATATAGCCATTGTTGCTGATATGGCGCGGATTTCCTTGGTTTTAGGGGCACATTTTCTCTAACCTTACTAGAGGTATGTTTTGTCATATTTTTAAATGTAATAAATTCAGTTAGAAGAACTATTTGTTCAAAACCGACAATATTGTGTCTAAAATGTAACTCACTTAAAATTAATTTATTTTTAATTTGGGGGGAAAAAAGCACAGTTTCTGGTGTGATATTGCATAACTATATCATATTTTATTACATTTATTAAACACATTTTTTCCATTTTCCCCCTTTTGAATTTGGAGGATTTTTTATTAATATTTCTTGGCATTTTTCCCTCAAGCCCATGTTCATCTCCGACCCTAGTTGTTCTGTGAAATCAGATGCATGACTTCACCTTCAATCTGATGATTAACCTTCAGGATTCACACATACTATTTCCCATGCATTCATTTTGATGTGTCGAATGGTTGAATTCCAGATATGTATCAGATTTAAAACTGGATTTTGAAAATGAGTCAGATGTTGAAACATCCAGTCTTGACCTTCATGGTGATGATGATTATGATGAAATAAAAACTGAAAAGGTCCCTCTTTTTCCTCACTGTCACACATTTTTCTTCACAGGTATCATGTCTTCTAGAGAGCGACGCTCCGACCTGTACATAAAGGCTGAACCCAGCAGTCCCGATGGAGGAGGAGGTGGCGGAGGTGGAGGTGGAGGTGGAGGTGGAGGTGGAGGCGGCGGTGGCGGTGGCGGCGGCGGCGGCGGTGGCGGCGGTGGCGGCGGGAGGACCAGCCCGGGAGGAGTGTCCTCAGACTCCTCTCAGAGTGGAGGAGGGGGATCCAGAGGAGAAGGTGCTGGCCGCTACTCCCCGCCCCCTTACACGCCTGCATTACGTTGCCATTTTAAGGAGGAGGGTGCGGATGGAACCGAGGAGGGCTCTACCGGTAGCGGAGGAGGCCGCTGCAAGTATGCGCTAAGCACGCTTCCCAAAAGACTGTGCCTGGTGTGTGGAGATGTGGCTTCTGGCTACCACTATGGAGTGGCTTCCTGTGAAGCCTGTAAGGCTTTCTTCAAAAGAACCATACAGGGTGAGCATGTCTTACTGTGTACCAGATTCACTTGTCGTTACAGATAGCTTGTAAGTAAGCCAAGCCCGCTAGTTGTGTGAATCAGTGTTTCCTGTCCCCCTAATAGCCACCGCTGCCTCAGCCTCTCGGCAGAACAAATCATATTTATCCAGAATTTAATGTGACGAGATACCTTCAAATAATACCAAGAAAACATGTTTTTCTGTTGCATTGTTTTCATTGAATCGAACACAAATTAACATATAGCATGACAGCCATAATCCGATTTGAAAACAAATGTCTTTTATAAGCTGGCTCCTTTTAATGAATCGCTCAACAAGACTCAGAAGATAAAGCTTTGAATCATTTTTTAAGAATCCTTCACTAAACTGATTCACTGAATGTTTACTTTCAGTTATGTCTCACTCAAAATTGAGCTGTTTTGTGTATCACAATTTTTTCAAATGTAGTATCGTTAATGACTAGTTCCCATGACATGAAATTAAAGGTATTTTGTATTATTTTAATTAAATAAAAAAATATATATAACATTAAAAAGATTAAATATTAATAATTAAAAATATGATTTCTTCTTTTTATGTTAATTATTGATATTTGTTGTATACAACATTTTTTTTTAAAATAAATAATAAATAATATTTTTATGTATATTAGTGAGCTCTTTGCTACAAAAACTTACTTCTCTAGAAAATACTGTTCTGGACATTTTTATAACATCTTCACCTCCATCTAACAGGTAATATTGAGTACAGTTGTCCTGCCTCCAATGAATGTGAGATCACCAAGCGCCGCAGGAAGGCCTGTCAGGCGTGTCGCTTCACCAAGTGCCTCAAAGTAGGCATGCTCAAAGAAGGTAAGGTGGCACCTGGCCAGCACAACCAATCCTCTCTCTTACGATACCTAAGTACCTCAGTGTACGGTGTGATCCACAGGCAGTGCCAAAATCCTAATCCTCTTTCTGTGTTTGGTGTAGGTGTCCGCCTGGACCGAGTCAGAGGTGGACGGCAGAAATATAAGAGACGCCCGGAGATGGAGAATGCTACGTACCAGAGTGCACCGATACCTTTAAGGAAGGAGGGAGAGAAGGGTAATAATAAAAAATATTTATTTATTTATTTAGAATTTAAAATGTATGTGTAATTTTATTTATTTATTTTAAACAAACTTAATTTTATGGCCTGCAATTACTACTGCATAAACTTGGCTTGATTATTCAGCTGAGTAATATTGTTTCTCTCAGGCTCATCCAGCATCATTGTGTCTCATCTGCTGGTGGCGGAGCCAGAAAAGCTGTTTGCTATGCCAGACCCCCTGCAGCCTGACACGGCCCAGCGCACGCTCACCACTCTCTGCGACCTGGCCGACAGGGAACTAGTTGTCATCATCGGCTGGGCCAAGCACATTCCTGGTAAGTGAGAGCAAGAAGAGGAACAGCAAGACGGTTGGCAAGGAGACCGTGTCAATGAAGCTATTCTGATGTCGAGCTACCGGTTACTCACTCTCCTGTTACTTAACTTAAGCTACCACATAGTTCTGCCTGTCTCAGTCTGATTCACTGTCTGATTCACATTGCACTTGAAACTAGAATGTAATTTCTCGATCTGGTAAGCCCTTATTTGATTGGCTGACTAAGGGCACAAAGGGTTTTATATCATTCTGCCTGAAAACATAGTGTGCGTCTCCATCAGCTCCCTAGTTTAGTAGTCACGGCACTGATCAGGGAGGCTGTCTCAAACGCAAAAACCTTCCAGTGCACTGAAATGTTGACTCTCTACAAAGCACCATGAAAAGCAGGGAGCATCAATGGTCGCCATGTTCCTTTATTCTGAAGTGTGAATTTGTGTACATTAGGTGTGGGCGATATGACCGAAATCTTATATCATGATGTGAGTAATTTTATTTCATGGTAATGATATATCACGATATAGTTAATTTTGCTTTAAATAAGGTCTTTATGATATCAACATTTTTGATACCTTAGAAATTTCATCATTCCAGGGTTAATATCACAAAAAACTAATACTAGCCTAAAAAAAACAAAAAACAGCTCACTGAAGACAAGTAAATAGTCAGCGAGTAAATAAGAATAAACTACTTACAAGCAATAGGACAAAAGAACTGCAGTAGAACAAATAAATAAAAAACGCTACATATATTGTATAAAGTAATCAAATGAATAAAAACACTGCATTTTCATCACTGTAAATTAAATATGTATTTCTTATTAAAGTTACAAAAGTGATTTAGTCGAGAGCAGTGAGAGATTTTCACTCTTTTGTTGTTTGATTAACATGAATGACAGACAGGAGGAATATTAGACTGCTGTCACTTTAGAGAGCTGCCCGGATCCAATATACTGTTACACATGTTTTCTTTCTCAGCTGTTTGCTTTCACTTAAGACCTAAATTACTGTGTTTACAAGGATACTTGCAAAGACGGGCATTTTAACACATGAAAGTGTATGTATCAAGGCCTATAAAGCGCCAAAAATTACTCCGTTCAATACTCCAACGCTCTATGATGAACACCGTCTTCATGTGCTCGCGGGCTCTCTGACAGCGTTCTCTCAGACAGTGCATGCATATAGCGAAATTAATTCTCTTTCGCTGCTGATTGCGTTTTAACGGCTTAAAATCACTTGCTTTTAAATAGCAATGCTTAAAACAAGTGCAAACGATAAGTTCTCGTGACCACGTAGCACAGCAACATCACATGAGCGTGTAACCACAATAGAGACGATGGTCTAAAATCTCTACCGGTTGTCTAATGTCAGCCAATTAATGTCCAATTAGTGTCTTCCGGTATATCGCCCACTCCTAGTGTACATGATATAGTGATTCTTGACCTAGGGATCTAAATGAGACGCATCCTATAGTGTATTAGACTAATGGAGGATGAAATAATCACTGGATTTTGTCAGGAATCACCTGACAGTTTAGTTTTTAGTTTTTTAGTTTTTAGCCGGTTTTAAACAACTAGTAAGTATTGTTAAATTCATATACAGTTTGTATGTTCTGCAATGTGTTTGTTAGTTCCTGCTGTTTTTATGGTGGTCCATTATTATGGCCTAATCTATTTCATGCATGTAAAAACAAAGGAACAATATTTTTTGCTTTACGTCAGTCAGACATCTGCAATTATGGCGACTGAATTTGCACTGTGAACCAGATCTTATGAAGGGCCACTATTTTCCACTAGAAATAAAAAGCATAATTGTATTAATTGTAGTGGCAAAGGTCGCTTGCAATCTGTGCAAAAAGTAGCAGACATCCTCTTCTTGAAATATCCTCTTTTCATTCGCGGTAATAGTTATTCATCATGTTTACTCATGCAAACGGTTTATCTGGGTACTTATACTTACACATTTTACTGGGAAGTGTTACTTACTGGCCAAGTTGCACTAATATACTTGGTGGTTGGAAGGAAAGCAGATCATATGCTAATGTGCCAATAACAGGCTAATATTTCAGGAGGCTATGAAAAAGCCAGCTAGAAAACAGTTAGCAGCTTTTTAGTCACTGATATTTTCACATTTCTGCACTGCCTGAAAGTCCTTATCAATCACAGCTGTCTGTAGAGAACAGGTGCCTAAAGAAAGATTATAATTGAAGGGAACTGGAGCAGGTGAGTCAGAGCTCCAGTCAGAACGTGGAAACCTTTTCTCCTAATTGCTGTCCGAGCTCAGTCTTGGAAGGAGCGATTTCAACCGCTTTTGTCAGTCTCTGGCTATTTTCAAGACCTCCAAATTTAGAGCACTATTGTGAGTGTCCACTGTGTCTAGGTACTCAACAACAACTCTTATCCCGCTCTCTGCACTCCACATACACTAGATCTGAAGAGCGGGCCTTTACAGTCTCCGTAGGAGGGGAGGATTGTGGGATTAACAGTGCTGACAGAGACAAAAAGTTTAGAAATGTTCAACATTATGCAAATGAGTGGCAAAAAATGTGTCTTAATGAGGTGAAGGTGGTGACATCTGTCATAAGCTTTTTGAAATCTACCGACAGTGCTGGAGTTTCACATCGTTACGTATTACTATATTGAATTAAATTCATAATAAATGCATTAATATATATTAATAAAAACATTATAATAGTATTAATTAATATCATGTAGCCTTTCCCAATTAAGCAAGTATTGCTTCAGTTTTTTTCAAATCAATTATTCAGTAAACAGTGTTAACTGGTTTTCACTTTCATGTCATTTTTAAAATGTTTTATTAATAATACTGACATAACAGATTGTGGCAGGTCTTTTACGCTAATATTTCAATACTTTGTCACCCATCTGATTTTTGACCAACCTTTTGCATTCATTTAAGACGAGCCATCTGTGTTTGTGTATTTTGAGCATGTTTTCTTCTGCACCAGTGGACATGCGGCGTGAACCTCTCTTTTTTTCTCCCTCATCCAGGCTTTCTCTCGCTGTCACTGGCTGACCAGATGTCCGTTTTTTAGAAAGGATGAAGTAAATTGAACAGAAGTGACAGTACTGTTTTTAACATTGATAATAATAATAATAATAAATATTTCTTGAGCACTAAATCAGCATATTACAGTAGAAAACAGTATTGTTTGAATTCAGCCACGAGGTAAATCTGTGATGTTTAGGTCCTCGAAGGTCTTCGCTTTATGCCAGTTCACGTCACCAAACGTGATTTTTCAGGTTTACATCTACATTTATGCAGATTTTGGTATAATGCATAAAATAGCTAGGTGGAAACGTGAAGATACAAATAATGTCCTAAATGCACATAAAAAATGTATGCGCATAAAAAATTTATGATTTAATTTAGAATGTCTGCGCATAAACACATTTACTGGATTAATTAATCTAAAAGTCATATGACTGAATAATTTGCTTGTAGAATGATCCGACATGCTGTCATTACAGACATAAAGCAATTGCAACTTGAAGTTCATCAGAGTTTTTTGTCTGCACTCTCTAAGCCACATGTAATTCAGTATTTTCAATTAAAGTGGCTTCAATAGTTAAAATTTAATTTTTTTTAAATTTGTGCCAGTTTTCTCCTGAATACTTGAGATTAAATCGCAACTTTGGAAGAGTAACGTTGGTTTTATTGGTCCTGTTTACACCTGGTCACTTCCAGCGTTTTCTCTGATCGGATATCTATCTGATTTGTTAAAACGGTTCCATTTACACTTGGCCACATAAATGTATCTCCACAAAATTGATATAAATCAGATCTTAAATTCCCGCGCTACATGCAAATTTACGTTCACGTCAACGAAAGCAACAGATATGCACAACATTTTATTCATCATCAGCTAATTTCAAGATGAAAGACATCTTGCACAAAGGCATCAGCACTGGAAAGATAACTTAGTATTACTTAGTACTACTTTTTATGAATGATTGTGTGTGTTGAGTGTCTGTGACTTACTTTCAGTTTCATTTGCAGCAGTTTGCACGTCGGTTTGCTGAAGAAATACTCAGCTATTCATTCATGACGATGCATGTAGCTTTAACATTTTTTTCAACATTTTGGGAGTTCTGCGCCAATAGCCTCGTGGTTAGTGCGTCGACACATAGTGCGACTGCGGTCACGGCGACCCGAGTTCGATTCCCGTCTCGAGGTCCTTTGCCGATCCCACTCCCCTCTCTCCTCCCAGTGCTTTCCTGTCATCTCTCTACTGTCGTATATCAATAAAAAAATTTATAAAAAGCCCATAAAAATAACTTTTATATATATTAAAAAAAACATTTTGGGAGGAATAAAATTTACATATGTGGTTTTAACAGCCAGATGCATTTACCCTTGTTCAGTTTCGTCTGGGATGCATCCAAGACCACCTCCTGAAGCGGTTTGAGCGATCAGATTTAAATTTGTCTCGAAAGCGTTTCGGAGGGCATTTACACCTGGTCTTTTCACGATCGAATCAGAGAAAACGCATAAAGTGACCAGTTGTAAACAGGCCCGTTTAGATATGAAGGTCTAATCACTCATCCTCTTCTTCTCCTCTTTCAGATTCGGTGTACATCGAGGACATGGAAGCCGTGCAGAAGTTACGGGACCTGCTGCATCAGGCTCTGCTGGAGCTGGAGGTCCAGCGACACCCTGACGACCCTCAGCGTGTGGGACGTCTCCTCCTCACCCTGCCCCTCCTCAGGCAGACCGCCGGCCGGGCCCTCACCACCTTCTACAGCATCAAAACCCGCGGCGGCGTGCCCATGCACAAACTCTTCCTGGAGATGCTGGAGGCCATGATGGACTCACCCTAGAGAAGAGATGACGTTGGATGAAGAAAACGGCAAACTTTTTGTGTGCGCAAGGGCTACAAAAGCCAAAAGAAAACACTTTTTGGGGTTGAATATGAAGAAGACGCTTCGTGTAGCTGTCCGCCGGTACTGATCTTTCACATCCAATGCTCCTCCTTCACTTGATTTCAATGGGTACCACGTCAACACAGACTAGGGTTAGACACACTTAATATTTATGTCAGTGTTCGAGAAACTGTGTAATTCATTCTGTCACTTCACAGCCATCCTGATAAGTGTTTCTAGGAGCTAACCATTACTGTAAACTCAGAGAAATTCACGTGCCAAGGGCGCCTACTGAGACCGCAGCAACATGAACGATTCAGCGATATGTCATTCTTTAACTATGGTAGGCCATCTAAACAAACTGACACTATCACTACAGTTATAACAGAGTAAGCTTTTTTTTTTCCCTTAAATCGGTGAGAAAAAGGCACTTGTGTAAAGTTAATAACTAGGGTTGGGCCAATAGACGATGCCATCTTCCATCGCCGATGGCTGACAGACATCACGATGTTAAGCTGACATTGTAAATCCCCCCATCCCCCCTCCACCTTGTCTCCCACAATCCGCCGCATCCCAGTTCCGTGTTCGGAAAGGAAATTAAGTGTACTACGGAAACCCTAAAGGGAATAAATAGCCTACGAGATGGGTGAATAAAAAAAAATATTTCAATACTTTTTCTCGCAATTATATCGTTGGGTAAGTAAAGGTGACTGTATATAAATTGCGGGCATCAAGGAGCCGCTATTAAAACCGCTTTCGATTGCGCGCTCTCATTTTACTTTCACTTTCATTTTTAAGATTCGCGATCACAAGGACTCTATACTACGGAGCGGCAGTACTTACCACACATTTGAGGGCATTTACACCTGGTCTTTTCACAATCGAATCAGAGAAAACGCATAAAGTGACCAGTTGTAAACAGGCCCGTTTAGATATGAAGGTCTAATCACTCATCCTCTTCTTCTCCTCTTTCAGACTCGGTGTACATCGAGGACATGGAAGCCGTGCAGAAGTTACGGGACCTGCTGCATCAGGCTCTGCTGGAGCTGGAGGTCCAGCGACACCCTGACGACCCTCAGCGTGTGGGACGTCTCCTCCTCACCCTGCCCCTCCTCAGGCAGACCGCCGGCCGGGCCCTCACCACCTTCTACAGCATCAAAACCCGCGGCGGCGCGCCCATGCACAAACTCTTCCTGGAGATGCTGGAGGCCATGATGGACTCACCCTAGAGAAGAGATGACGTTGGATGAAGAAAACGGCAAACTTTTTGTGTGCGCAAGGGCTACAAAAGCCAAAAGAAAACACTTTTTGGGGTTGAATATGAAGAAGACGCTTCGTGTAGCTGTCCGCCGGTACTGATCTTTCACATCCAATGCTCCTCCTTCACTTGATTTCAATGGGTACCACGTCAACACAGACTAGGGTTAGACACACTTAATATTTATGTCAGTGTTCGAGAAACCGTGTAATTCATTCTGTCACTTCACAGCCATCCTGATAAGTGTTTCTAGGAGCTAACCATTACTGTAAACTCAGAGAAATTCACGTGCCAAGGGCGCCTACTGAGACTGCAGCAACATGAACGATTCAGCGATATGTCATTCTTTAACTATGGTAGGCCATCTAAACAAACTGACACTATCACTACAGTTATAACAGAGTAAGCTTTTTTTCCCCTTAAATCGGTGCGAAAAAGGCACTTGTGTAAAGTTAATAACTAGGGTTGGGCCGATAGACGATGCCATCTTCCATCGCCGATGGCTGACAGACATCACGATGTTAAGCTGACATTGTAAATCCCCCCATCCCCCCTCCACCTTGTCTCCCACAATCCGCCGCATCCCAGTTCCGTGTTCGGAAAGGAAATTAAGTGTACTACGGAAACCCTAAAGGGAATAAATAGCCTACGAGATGGGTGAATAAAAAAAATATTTCAATACTTTTTCTCGCAATTATATCGTTGGGTAAGTAAAGGTGACTGTATATAAATTGCAGGCATCAAGGAGCCGCTATTAAAACCGCTTTCGATTGCGCGCTCTCATTTTACTTTCACTTTCATTTTTAAGATTCGCGATCACAAGGACTCTATACTATGGAGCGGCAGTACTTACCACACATTTGACGAGATTAGATGTTTGTCATTGGTGCTCAGGATCTGCAAATCATTCACCATCGTCCTATCAGACATTTCTCCTTACTCTGTGTATGTGGTAAGTGAACTTTAATGTACTGTAATGCAACAGGCTACCGCTAGCAAGCGGCTAACCTTTTAGTGGCTCCGTATAATGCGTTATTTGTTTCACCCTTCAGGCACACCCCTAACCCCGCCCCCTGATGTCATCGTCCATCACAATGTTTCACTGTAGACATCGTCCGATGCCAATTTGGTAGACATCGCCCAACCCTATTAATAACGTCTTTTATAATGCACTCGCCATACTACAAGTGCTATTTAACTTTGTCCCGCTAGCTTTTTGTGGAATATGCAACACATAGGTGAAGATGTACAGGAGGAAATACAGCTCAAGACAAACAAATTTCAGTTTACTGATACTGCAAATATACTGCGACATCATATTACTACGTAAAGCAATATGAAAGATTTCATAACTCATTTGATGTCAGCTGTTTTTAAAAACAAGAGGCTGCCATGCCACGTTCTGCTTCGAAACGAAATTTAGTAGTGGTGTAGTCGCATAGCAAAGTAGTTTTTTTGATTGTAGTCAATTTTAATAAACCATGCCGTCCTTTGTATATTAGCCAAGTGTTTAAAAAGAATAACGTCATCGTTTTGGGATATGGATTATGTGAATGGGAGGTTATGGGTACTATATATGCTGAACTGAACCAACAGTGCGTCTAAATCAGGGTAAACGGGGAGTTTTTTCCTCCTGTAGGCCACTACTGTAGTTTGATTTTTGCTGTAATAGTTTTTCAGACGGCGTGGGACACTCTGATATCGTCCTCGATTCTTCAGATGACACTGGCCTGCTTGTGAATGATTGGGAGTAATTCATTTGGAAAGACATTTTTAGTCATTCAGAAGAAAGCTCATATTCTGTATTACAATCCTTAATTTGTGCACGGACGCAGCCGGACAGTCGCAGGTTCATTCTGTGATATTCAAACTGAAAGCCTCTGTGGTGCAGAGCAACATTTAAATGCAAATTGGAAAGCCTCACGATTTGGGCTCATCCCGAGCCGTCGCTTCGAGACTCTTCGTTTGGTTGTTTTAGGATGTGTTTGCGTGATCTCCTCATAGTTGTTTGTTTGCAGACGCTTGTCTGGTATTATATGCAATCATACTCCGTTCAGAGTGCTACAACTCCTCTACCTTTTATTTATTCTACACACGTGAAAACAGGAGGAAGAAAAGCCAGTTGCCATTTTGGCCTCTTTACCAATTTAAGTACTAAAAATGAAAAGCACTGTTGTACAGAGTTAGGCCTGGGAGGTGACGCCACATCTTCAGGGTGATTTTCACTGTATGCTGTTCGCAGCAATGATTGTATGAGCGCTCTGAAAGGGGTTCGCTGCAGATACCCGCCACAGACGCAGAGGGAAAGAATCTTCCAAGGTTGATATTTATAATATTTTCAGCTCAACATTAGGATTAATCTGGGTCTGCAGATTCTTTTAGTGCAGGATACTGAGGGGACGTGTTTTGGGTGATCATATGAGTTTCTGTTGCTCATTTTGTGCTCATGGCATGAGTTTAGGTTTTGGTTTTCCATATAGACTATGAAGCTTGGCCTCAGGTTTGGTATTGAAATAAAGCAATTCATTTGGGAGATTATGAAATGTCTGTTTTGTATTGAATTGTTTTTTAGATTTATCCTTTTGTGATTAAAGTACTAACTTTAAGACATATGAAAGCCAGTGGATGTTATATTGTTCATTTTCACTCAATATAGTATTGCAGATTTCAGGCACTAATATGTTTTTATCACTGCAAAACTTTCTCTATTTTTTCTTAAAATTATGCCAGTTAAGGGAATTTATGGGATATTAACTTGGTTTAATTTTTTTGATTCAATCTATATGCATTTATCAAAACTGAAAAATGCTTCTTTTTTTTCTTTTATACACAAGAAGTTATTGTCTCTCCTAAGTGGTTACTGGGATGTCATGGACTGTGTACATAACCATGAATGAGTGGGTCCATTCAAAGACCGCTGTAAAATATGTCAATGTTTGTGTCAATAATAACTAATATAATGATGATATTACAGTAGTGTTTTCATAATGGTAAGCATTATATGAAGCCATTTCGTCTGTCAGACTTGGAACATAACATATGATTGAGAGATAAATTAAATTCATGGCTAGGTGTTTTTTGTGTGTCTGTGTATATTTATGTAAATGAGCAAGCAATACCAGAATTTACCTAAATGTTTGTTTTCACATTTTTCTGTATATTGATATACTGTAAATCAAACCTCAACAGTAACACTAGTGATAACAGTCAATAGTAATAATAAGAACAAAACAATATTTGTATTCCAAAATGTTGTATTTAAAAGATTAAAATCTATTTTTTACTCAATTTGCGGATGTTTATTAATATTATTGTTCTGGTATTTGTGTGGGTTGAAGTCAAATGATTGTAAATGTCTGTGCTTTTTTTGTTTGTTTCCTTTTTGTAAAGCTCAGTGGTTCTGCAGTAGTAACTATTTCAACACTTAGTTCATATTGAATCACTGTGAAGAGAAAGCAAACACTAGAAAGCCACAGGAAAATAGAGGTATTTTAAAATATTGTCAGTGTCAATTTGTTTTGTAATAAATTAACACGCGTCATCACTTGTCATTGGATTTCTATGTCATTTTGTCATGATCCTGTCTGTTCTTTCATGTGGTTGAAAACAAATTGTTCATATTTAGGCTTATCTAACCGCAAAATAGTGAATGAACATTATTTTTTATTAAGTGTCTGGTCCATTCCATTGTTTTCGTGTTGTAGGCAAAGCTGGATATGGTGCTGGCCTTTTATGTATATTTATGTAATTTTAGCGATTTTATAGATACATTTAGTACTATTACACAGATAAAACAATATCACTTATCTTTAAATAAGACGGAGAAGTAGTGCAAACTCATAGTACTGGTCTGGTCAGCCTTTTTTTTGTTTTGTTTTTTGGGAGTAACGCCACTTTAAATCATTGTGCCACCTGCATTAAACGTGTGTGCGTGCTACTGCCCCCATGTGGTTATAAGTTGTATAGCGCCACACGCGTGAACACGACCAGCGTGAATACAGCGCCACCATAAGGCCGTTTAGGGTTCAGAATCGTTGTCTATACATTATTAGGCCTGTTTTAATTGAGCAAGTTGATGTAAAAAGATTTAATTAAGCTTATATAATTTACTGCATATGAAGCAACGCTGTAGATGAGTGATTCTGAGTCAACAAGTAATCTCTTATAATGCTTTTTAGCGCTGACATTGTGTAGGCCTATATTTAAATGATATAAATGGTTAATGTAAATATGTGACCATGGACCACAAAAGCAGTCATAAGGGTCAATTTTATGAAATTGCGATTTATACATCATATAATAAATAAGCTTTCCATTGATTTCCTTTGTATGGATTGTTAGGATAGGACAATATTTGGCTGAGATACAAATATTTGAAAATATGGAATCGGTGCAAAAAAAATCTAAATATTGAGAAATATATATCAGCCTTTAAAGCTGTTCAAATGAAGTTCTTAGCGATGCATATTCCTAATCAAAATTACGTTTTGATATATATACGGTAGGAAGTTTACAAAATATCTTCATGGAACATGATCTTTACTTAATATCCTAATGATTTTTGGCATAAAAGAAAAATCGATCATTTTGACCCATACAGTGTATTTTTGGCTATTGCTACCAATATATCCGTGTGACTTATGATTGGTTTTGTGATCCAGGGTCACATATAAACACATTTTGATGCTTCCCATTCACGTCAATCACATTCTATTATTCAGTCAGTAATATAATATTATAAGGATGATGATTTTTTAAATAATTTTTTCGTTTATTATTATTGCTTTATTTTTATTGTGTTATTGTGTTCCTCAGACCTTGGAAATTAAAAAGAAATCAAATGTAACAAATCTTTCAGGACACATAAATTGGTAAACAGGTAAATGCAAAAAATCCTGTGGGGAAATATTACAGAAGACCAGGTAAGAAATAAATAATTATAAATATTCCCATGACATATGATATATTCTGAAATATGTCAAGTCATTATTCA